GGGGGGGTTTGGAGGGGTGTGTGGGGTGCACGTCTGGTGCTGGGGGCTTGGTGTGGTGCTGGTGTGCGTGCAGGATGCGGTGCGGAGGTGATGGTGTCACCCGTGGCAGGGGTTGGCCTGAGTGAGCTTTAAAGGTCCCTTCCAGCCCGTTGTGGTGGGGTGTGGGCTGGATGGGTTCTCCCTGGTTGGTGTTACCCATGGGTGTGAGCCCGCTCAGCACTGAGGGCTCTGCTTTAGCATCGCCCTGGGCAGCCTCAGCGTGGGTGAGGGAGCTTTCACCATCCAGGCTTGGGATCTTCCACCCGTGGCTGCAAGCGTGCTGTGACTGAACGGGCTCACATCCCTGGTGAGCAGAGGGGTTTTGGCATAGCTGGAGTTTGCTGGTGGTGCAGGGCTGAGCGTTGCCCCTTCCTCCCATCCCCTCTGCCTTCACCTGCAGTGTTCCTTTTGTAAATAGGTGTGCGGGCTCAGAGGCACTCTGGGGAGATGCTTTCCAATCTGGAGATGGGACAGGCAGTGCGCAGGAGTGCTCTGAAGGAGCCTTCTACATGGAGCAACCTCTAAATCACCTTCTGCTGCTCAACTGGAAAACCTCGAGAGGTGCAACCCTGAAGACCTCTCTTATCCACGAGAGAGGTCCTGAGGCCAAAGAGGTTTTTATCCCCACAGTTAAGGTGTGGGGCTGTGGGTAGAGTTGTTGGCCAGTATCTGTTGCCCAGGGGCTTGGGAACCAGTGCTCCTGTCCTTGCTGTCAGGACACCAGCTATCCTGCTGTAATGAACCAATTAGCTTGTTCCCACATTTACCCAGACCCAGAAGAATTGTGCTCCTTGCTTGGGTGTTTCTCCAAGCTTGCACCTATCCAGGTCAGCACCTGGAGATGTGCATCTGATGAAAGAGGTGAGTAAACGCCCCACAGCCAATAGCTGTACTTAACGTGTGCCAAAACCAAACTTCTAATTAAACACATCCTGTGGAAGTGGTGCTGGCTGGGCAGAGCCAGAGTCCTGTGGATTAAGCAATGAAAGTTGGTCTTTGTCCAGGTTCATGGACATCAGGAGCTTGCAAATAAAAGGCTGAATGCCCCCTGCAGAACAGGAGGGATATTTTTGGTGCAAAAAGCCTTTTTGCCTTCTTTTTAGCCACTCCTGATTCTTTCTACCTGATCAGCTGGTTCCTGTAACTTGCAGTGAGAACAGAAGATGAGGACAAGACCAACCCTTTTTTCTTCTTGGGTATCCTTTCATCTCAAACTCTTGGTGTCCTCATCTTCAGCATGACCCAAATTGTCCCGAGTTCTTATGATGCTTAATGTGAAATGGAAAAAAAAACCCAAAATCTCATCTCTAGGGTGGTGAGAAATATGCAGGCCTTTGCTGAAACTCCTGAGTTGGTCTTTGGAGCGGTGGGTCAGAGGAAGAGCCTAGAAGGGCTGGTGGCAGGGGCTTGCCAGGATCTGCATGGAAGGTCAAGATGGTGTATCCTGATGGAAGAGCACTTAGGTGTGAGAAAGGTTGAGGTTTTGGGGATATCTTTGAGTAGAGTCTGTAGGGGGACTCGGAGCACAGCTCTTGTCCCACTTCCAGAAGCAGCATCTGTGCCAGCTGCTGTCCTGGTGTTGGCCGGGCTCCCCTGTAAAACCTGGGGCAATTTGTTGCATTTCTGGAGTGCCATGAACCTGCCCAAGATAGAGGCTTTAACACAATGAGGCTGCTTCAACTCGTCCCCCTGCCACTCACCCCTTCTTCTCCACCTGTAACTTCTTGTGCTGTCCCAGCCAAAAACCGACAGCGCTGCCATTGTGTTTTAGCAGGGTGATGAGGGTGGTGGTGGGAGGATGTGGAGATGGGGGCTGGCACTGAGGTTGTGCTTGCACACAGTGTGACTGCTCCTCTCCATCTGAAGGGGAAACCTCAGCTCCGTTTCACTAAGCAGGATTTGGGCAGTGCTGATGGAGCTGCTGCTGGTCTGGTCCTGGAGGAGATGAGCAGTAGCCCCAGCTCCTTTTGGTTCCTCAGGAACAGAGCAGCGTGGTCAGGAGGAGCCAGACTTCTCAGTGACAGTTTGTAACCCATCTAAGAGAAAAAACAGCCTGTTTTTATTTCAGACATATGACCATGCTTGGTTTGACCTGCAATAGCTTAATATTAAGGCTGCCCTGTTAAGTAGGTCTTGCTTAGCGGCACCTGTGGGGTACCTTGAGCTGCTGTGTCTGGGTGGGAGAGGACTGAGAAAGGCAGCAAGGGAGCTGGGATGCAGCTTCATCTGGCTGTGTATGTATTAAATAAATGCATATGCAATAGGGGATGCGGGGAGCTGGGATGCAGCTCCATCTGACTGTGTATGTATTAAATAAATGCATATGCAGTGGGGGATCCCAGGAGTGCGATACAGAATAAGCAAGTAAAGGAAAGCAGATGTTGCTGTTCAGACTACTGAAAACTCAGGAGTAGGGATTATAAAGCAGGGTAAATAAAATCCTATCCTCTGACTGCTCTTTTTACCATGAAATCCTTGAGGCTGTCAGCCAGCAGCAGGGGTGTTGAGGTGGGAAGGGTTTGCTGGGTGGGTTATACCACACTGTGGAGATGTCTGCTTAGGTTTGAGGATCTGGGCTCGAGCGAGGGGCTTGCAAAGCCTTGCTGCTGGCACAGCCTTGCCATGAAATGGCTAAAAAAAGATGAGAAGCCTCCGACAGCTTTCCTTCTCAACCCCCTGTGGCAACAACGGTCAGCTCGAGCTGCTGCAGGGCAGGAGAGCTGCTGTGGGGCTGCTGAGCTGCAGCAGGATAAAGCCTTCAATTAGTGGATCAAACCTGCTCCTGTAAACTGGCTGAGTTATTTAACCATGGCGAGGGCTTGCACTTGCAGAAGAAAGCAGATTACGGTGGAACACGCCCAAAATAAAGCACGTTAAAGAACGAACAGGCTCTTGTCCGTAAGGCAGGGAGGAGTGTACAGATGTGCCCAGCTGTCAGCCCCTGGATGGGGAGGGTTTAAGTCATGGTTGAGCTCTGGCCAGCATTTCCCAGCAAACGGGCCCGTGATATGGAAACCACGATTGTGCATTGCCTTTGACCCCCCTGCCTCATGACCAGCCGTGAGTCACCGCAGGATGGCAGCTGCGAGGAGGCAAAGGTGTCCTGCATGGCGCTGTCGGGACACAGCTGGCTCGCCATCCCCGTGCTCTGCCTGCTTTTTGGGACATCCCTGCAGGTACCCAAGCAGTTTTACATGTGGGTGTGCCACTGCTGCCAGCCCTCATCCACTTCTGGATGCGTTGCAGCTGCCAAAGGTGGCAGATGAGCGGAGGCCTTTGGGACAGGGTTGTTTGTGCCAGGCAAATGAAACGTGTGGAGCTGTGAATAATTCAGTGCTGGGTTATCTAGTTCCATGCAAGCCTCCAGCACATCAAAGCAGCTCCAAAACCCTGTGGGTAGGATCTGGAAAGTTGAGTCTGAATAAATAAGCCTACAGACATCCTGTGGCGTGAACTTGATGCTTTGATACATAAGAGTTCTCGATTTAGACCTGGCTTGCTTTCAGTCTGCGTAATGTGCCTGGATCATCTGGAGAGCCCCTGCTGGATCTGCTGCCTGCGGCTGGGCCCGATGTGGAGCTGGGGGTGGATGCGCTCAGCTGCTGAACAAAGCCCAAGAGTTGTCTTCTTACTCTTAATTTTATTCTGTTTTCCTTGCAGAACGTCAGGATCAACCCCAGCAGCATGTCCTTCAACATGTGGAAAGACATTCCCGTGCCTTTCTACATGTCGGTGTACTTCTTCGAAGTGCTGAACCCCAAGGAGATCCTCCGGGGAGCGAAGCCAGTGGTGAACCAACGTGGACCTTATGTTTACAGGTCAGGTACCGCTTGTGGTCCAGCTAGGATGTGAGCCTGGCCACCGTGCTGCTTGCCAGGCTTCTGGCTGACTCCTCTGGCAGGAGGACACAGCATTAGCAGACTTGGTGCGAGGCCAGGGGCGTAGGATTTTAAAGCGACCCAAATGTGCTCTAATTGCTTTGATTTTGCTAGAGCCACAAGTAGGGCCTCTGGCTGCTGGGCTGATAAGGCTGCTCTGTGCTTTGAGTTGTGGAGCTCGCTCCCATGCTGGGATCTTTTTGGCAGCCAGGCCCGAGCTGATGTGGTCCAACCTTAGGTGTGAGAGGTGTTTCATTTTCACTGTGCGTTTGAGAGTCCAACTCCAGAGCTGGAGTCACCTCAATATCAAAATTCATGGATTGGCCTCAGACCTCTTTTCTAAAGTGAGACCCAGAATCTGCCTTAAATTAATGCTCTGGTGATGAGAACCAGTATGGACTTGCTTGTGCCTGCCTACAGCAGGGCTGGGGCTGTTTGCCATGGCTGAGGATGGTGACTGAAGCCCCAGATGCTTCTCCGGACCCAAAATGTGAAGTGATGGTTGATGCTGAGTTGAGCATGTGAACTCCCCCATAAATAGCAATATTCAACACATCAGTGCCTACACATGTAGGCAAAGTTAGGTCAGCAGCCTAAGCAAGCTCATGTGGGAAGATTACTGGTTTAATCCAAAGCTGTTTGGTGCTGTGGGGAAACCTGGCAGTATGTATATGCCCTTGTTTCCCCTGGGCTTGCTAGGTCACGCCATAAATCCATGTGGGTTCTGTATGTCGTGACCACGTCAGTCACTTGGCTTGGGGGAAAGGCTTCACTTATCATAAATAAGAATAAACAAAGGGGCAAAGCTTATTAGTGTTCTTGTGTTGCCTCTGAGCAAGATTAGCGCCCTTTCCCAGTGTGGGCTGTAAAACAGGGGCTCCACAATGAAGGATGATGGTTGAGCTTCAGCTTCCTAAGGAGCTGCAACAGGCTCGCGATGCTGGGGACAAGCTGGTGCTGCTGTGGGACATTGCAGCCCCCATAGGACTGGGCTGCCCCCGTGGCACGGAGCGGCGCTGGGCGCTGTGCACGACCCCAAGCCCTGGGGAGCAGGAGAGCTGTGATGCTGCGTGGAGGGTTGAGCTGCACTGAGCCTGGAAAGCTCATCAGGGAGCTGTGGGGCAAATCCATGTGGGCTCATTCATGGGGCTTGTGCCATCCTGTTTTTGGTCTTCTCTTGTTTTAGGAGTGGTTTTGGGGTGGGGCTTGGTGCAGGTTAGCTTACCTGGGTGTGTCTGTGATAGAACCAAGCTTTTCAATGCCCATAGGCGAAGCTACATTGTGAATTTGTGTTTTTGTGTTATGTTGCTTGTCAGCTGGAAAGAAACACTTGGAGTTAGCAAATTGCTACAGGATCCCATCTGTCGGGGTGCCTCACACCCAGGCTGCTATCTCCTCCTGCTAGACACTAACCCTGCTTGGGACGTGAGGTTGGCACTGCCTGTTCCCCAGTCCCTGCTGTCCCATGGCTTCTTGTTTGGGTTCAGTCTCCTCTGCTCTTCAGAAGCAAGCCCAGGCCTGTGCAGCCCATCCTTGTGCCACAGGAGCACTGGGTGGGGGAAGCTTATAATGATCTTTCTCATCTTTTTGCAGAGAATACAGGTATAAGACAAATATCACATTCCATGACAACGACACTGTCTCCTTTCTGGAATACCGGCAACTTTTCTTCGAGCCAGACAGGTCCAACGGCACTGAAGAGGAGTACATCGTTGTGCCAAACATGTTGTTGATGGTGAGAACTTGCTCCAGGATGGGTACCAGCTTCTGTGCTTGTGGGGAGGGTGATGATGCCCGATGCTGACTCAAAGCATTTTTTGCCCTTAATAAGGATAATCAAAGCATGAAGTGGTTAAGCTCATAAAATGCAGTTTTCTGCTTTCTGGGTGTTCGTTGTCATGTTAGCCTGTTACCCTTCCAAAAGCAGTGTGTGCAGAGTAGCTGGATGGCAACCTTGTCTGAGTGTCCTTTGGGGAGATGAAGCCTACAAGCCCTCAACTGCTTTCTTCCCAAAGTGGGAATAAATGGTGAACCTCGGTTTGTCCAAAGGATTTCTTCAGGAATGGAGATTGGTGCAGCAGAGGACCTTGCTGAGCACCAAAGATGCATCGCTACCTCTTTGGTAATGATGGGGCTGTTGTCTCAGAGGTTTGTTTGCTTTCCCAGGGGGCAGCTGTGATGATGGAGAACCTGCCAAACTTTATGAAGCTTTTGCTGAGTGGAGCCCTGGCTGGCCTGAAACAGGAGGCGTTCATGAACCGGACAGTGGGGGAGATCATGTGGGGGTATGAAGACTCTCTTATAGACACAGTAAATGCGTTTGTTCCTGGCCTGATCCCTTTCAAGGGGAAATTTGGCTTATTTATAGAGGTGAGTAAACTGTCGCTTGGGAACACTGAAATCACAGCAATATTGGTCTTTGGATTGAGTGTCTGGGCTGTCCCCCTCACAAACCGTTCAGAGTAGCTGTGTGTAGCTGGTGGTGGTTGTGTAAGGCTGAGCTGATAGCGGTTGTGTGAGGCTGCCTTGATTCTCCCTTCCAGCAGAAGTGTGTGCGTTGGAAGCTGTCACTGGTGAATGAAATAAGTAAAAGTTCAGTAGCTTCCAGTGTGAAGTATTCCGAGAGCTAAGGAAGCATGTCAAGTCATTAACATATTGCAGTCTTGCTACATGTCATGGATTAAAAGTTGGTTTCTTCTCTCTGCAGCTTAACAACTCTGATTCGGGACTGTTCACGGTGAACACCGGCATGAAGGACATCAGTAAAGTCCACATGGTGGATTCATGGAATGGACTAAAGGAGGTAAGTGTCGGGCAGCAAACCCCCAGTACAGGGGCAATGCCTGATCTAAAGCAAGATGAACTGAAAGCTCTCAGTGCTGTTGTATCTCTAAGTTACGGATTTGAAGGCAAGTTGCTGTGGGACTTTAACTTCAGTCCAGTTGCCAGAAGGCAGCCATATGCCATATGCCGTGAGGCTTGTCACGAAGCGTTGAGTTCATCAGTATCACTTGGACTCCCTTGAAATGCTGATGGAGCTGGTTGCTTCTAGTGGTTGAAGTTGAAGGCTCCTGCGGCCTGTGTTTATGATGTTATTTAAATACCCTTGTTAAAGGGGTGCTTATTCTTCCCATGTGGAATTCCACTCCTAATTAAAATCAACTGAATCTACAGATGAACACTGTGAGAGTGCTTGGGGCAGGAGGATCTTGTCCTGGTTTTGCATTAATTGGGCCGATGTTTGAATGGGAAAGATCTTTGAAGCTCTTAGTGTTGCCATCCCAAGCTCCTCTGGAAGCAGTGTGGAGTGGTGGATGTCCCCCGCAGGGGTGGAAGCCAACTCTGCAGCAAGCTTGTCCTTCTGACCTCCTCTCTCTGTGTCTGTCCCGCAGGTGGACTACTGGGGGAGCAGCCAGTGCAACATGATCAACGGGACCTCGGGGGAGATGTGGCCACCGTTCATGTCCCCAACGTCATTGGAGTTCTACAGCCCCGACGCCTGCAGGTGAGGCCATGGCTGCCAGCTTGTCCTTGTGCAGGAGATGCAGCGCTTGTCCAGTGCACCCAGGGCACCCGTGCAGTGACACAGAGGGCTCGGGATGAGTTTCTGTAGCCAAAGTTCGGCCGCAGTTCAGTCCTGCGGTATCAGAGCTGTGCAAACAGTGCTGTTGTCTAATTAGCAGCGTCTTACGGTATTCATAAATACCTTCCAGGTCACTGGAGAAGTCTTAACTGGCCCATGTTGAATCAGTAGAAAAATAACCAGTCCAGATAAGATGGGGGAGTTGAGAGGGAGAAGTAGGAGTTGTCATAAGGAAATGCAGCCTTAACCATTTGCGGAACTATTTCAGCTGACCAAATACTTGCAGAAATAATGTCGGGTGGTGCTTGTGCCATCATTTCCAGGCTGCTGCTTTTTTTTACTGCCTAGTTCATGCACTTCTGTGCATGTCTGTCCTGCATAGGATAGCCTAACCTTAGCTGATCGCATGGGGATTAAAGTACCCTGTGTGGAAACTCCCTGAGGCCAGCAGGCAGGCATGGTACTAAAACCTCTCCCCAGCTTGGGGGAGATAATGTTAATTCAGGCTTTATAGACAGTGCTGTGAAAACAAGCCAGTGCTCGTGTTGAATAGAGAACAAAGAGCTCTTCAGCAGAACAAGCAAAGTCAGCTGAACCAGGTATTAGTGCAGGAATTCCTCTACACAAGGGACATCAGCAAATACCAGTGATCTGGAGCCAAGGACTTAGAGAAGTTTACCAGTGATCAGATACACATCTGTCAATCAAATTCATGTACCTGTTTCTGTCAGACTACAGAAATCTTCTAGGGAACAGATCATGTTTCCAGACAAGGTGTAAACTGAAGTGGAGGAAACCAAGCTTGGTTTCTTGTCAGTGCAGGCAGTTCCCACAGGACAGTGCTGTGGAGGAAGAGGCTTTGCCTCTTCACCAGGCATTGCTGTCTGTTCTCTCCAGATCTCAGCCCCTCTGCTAGCCCAGCTGGCTAGAAAGGAGTCACATCAGCTCTTAGACTAAAAGCATATCTGCCTTGCTGCAGGGAATGGCATGGGATGGCTCATCTCCTGTGCCGTTTGCATGATAAGTGCAGCTGATGTTGAGATGCAGCTGCCTGGATGTCCCTCAAGGTAGGCAAGGCTTTATCCTGCGGTTGTGCTGCAGCAGCTTCTGCCTCTCTGCTGGAAGGTGAGCACAACCAAGAGGCATGCATGTAACTGCTGAACGTGCCCCAGATCCTCCATCCTTGGTCCTGGTGCTAGAAAGCAGCTGTACGGATAAGCATCGCCCTTGGTTTGCCCAGGCTGTCTGCATCCCTGCAAGTCTCATGTGAGGGAAGCAAACTTCCTTCCTGGAAACTTGCATCTGTCCTGGCCAGCTGGTAGCAATAATGCAGCATAACATTGATAGCTTGTTGTATCAGGAGAAATATCTTGCTGTGCAATATAGCTCATAAGGTGAAATTTTCCACTCCTCTGACAGCCTGTGTGCTGGGGTTGTGCTGCAAAAGAGGTTTAGCTGATGTCCATCCTCTGTGACAGAGCACTTTGACCTAGGAGCCAAAGCTTGCACAAAGAGAGTGTTATCTCTTGGAGAGCAGCCCTGGGGGTTACTGCATGCCCTCAATCATATCTCCTCTGGATACTGCAAATAGACTGCTAAGCCTGTGGTTTTTCTCCATAACTAGTCCTGACCAGCCCTTTATCTGTGCTTAAAACATGGAAAGCAAAAGGCTTAAATACTCATTTTCCATCCAAAGCACTACTCTGAGTGTTTATCTTGATCTCAAAGTCTAAGTTACTTTGCAACTGCATCTTATCCAGCAAAGATAAGAGCTCTGGTTCTGGGCTGGGAACCTTGTTGGCTAATCCTGATCCTTCTCCACTGAAACCCTTCCAGATCCATGACACTGGTGTACAAGCAGTCTGGGAAGTTCAAGGGTGTGCCCACCTATCGCTTTGTGGCACCGAAAACTCTCTTTGCCAATGGCACGGACTATGCACCCAACGAAGGCTTCTGCCCCTGCATGCAGTCCGGCATCCAGAACATCAGTTCCTGTAGGCTAAGTATGTCCCTTTCTGTCAGGACCCTCCCTGCCGTGTCAAAAATGAACTGTAGGGCCGTGATATATGAGCTTGGCTGTCAGGAAAATCGGCTCTGCTATCTGCTGAGTTGCTAAAAGGCACTGCCTCGGGGTCTGTGTGTGCAGTGTTCTTGCTTGCACTCCCACAGGCTTCTCAGCAAGGAGGGAAAGGAGGGGAAATCCTTGTGCTGAAGCCCTGTTGGTCCACAGCCCTGTGAAAGCCTGGTGTTTTGGGAATGCTTAGGGATATGGTGGGAGCGTTATGTTCCCTGTGCTGGGGAGGGAGCAGGCAGGGGAGCAAGGCTAGGAAGAGGCAGGCTGTGTAACTGCTAAATTAAATGTTTACTTTAGATGCTGAGTGCAGGTCATGCAGGAGGGAGAATTCAGACTTCGTGTCCTAACCTGTGTCTGGGTACAGCAAGTTGCCATGGCGTTGGGTGGTGCGTGGGGGCAGAGCATGGCTTAAACACTGGTTTGTAACCCTTCCAGAGCGAATATGCTGCAGGGAGGGGAGGGAAGGAGCTTTGTGGTTGGGAGGAGAAAAAGTATAAAAGCCTGTTCGGAACAAATGCTGTAATGGCTTAAAAAAACTCAACAGAAGTTCTCAGACGGCTTGAATGAGCTCAAGGTGTCTTTGCTCCCGTCTAGACGCACCGATGTTCATTTCCCATCCTCACTTCTACAACGCTGACCCAGCCCTGGTGGACGCCGTCGAAGGCCTCCACCCCAGCAAGGACGAGCACGAGCTCTTCCTTGACGTGCACCCGGTGAGTGAGCCTGGGGGGGTTCATCCTATGGAGGAGCCTGGGTTCACCCCACGGGGGACCTTTGTCTCACCTCGGGGGTCCAGCCCAGGCTGGGTGGGGGGAGCCCGCCCCTGGCTGCGTGGTGGCCTGGCTCTGCTCTCGTGGCACTGATTTGAGCAGGTTCCATAGTGCAAAGACTGACAAGGACATGTGCAGATAAAAATGTCAAAGCCGTAAACTAATTTAATAATTAGTGTGGCTTCTAGAGAATTGCAGAACTAATTATAAGCATAATTGTTTTGATAAGTGCAATCGAATTCCTTCCACTGACTCAGGTCCATAGCACCAGGAGGTGTATCCAGCAGCAACTAAGTTATGCCCCACGTCTGCAAACGTGTTCTGCCGTGACTGGCACAGTCTGAAGACCCCTCTGTAGCTGAAGCTATTGCCATAATTCTGGGGGTGGCAGCTTCTACTCTCTCAGCTTTGTTATCTGGCTACTTCTCCACTGGGCTGTCGCAGTGTTACGCTTCGTGTGCATCTACAGCTAAGGGTGAAGTCACCGCTCCGGTGGTGATGAGCTGGGGTGTCCTGAGCCATCCTTGCCCCAGCTGCTGATGGGGAGGGGACTTTGGGGTCTTCTGGCCTGTGCTGCATGTGGTCAGATCATCCAAATATTCAGTGATGTTTCCTCAAGCAAGAATCCAATCCCCCTCTTGATAAGGTAAGCTGTGCTTCTTATCGAGGCATTGGATTCTCTCTGCTTTTCTTATCACAGTTATGGAAATCTAATTAAGTTTATTACAGTATAAAATATTTACTGATAACAGTACAATTGACTATATTCTTATCTAGCTGCAGCCTGCTAAATGCAAACAAGGGCAATCCAACAAAAACACTCTGCCCTTAAAAATGTGTTGCAAAACTGCAGTGTCATGAGAAACCAATGCCTTAATGGGTGTCCATAAGACCAGCTTTGAAGTGTGGTGTTTCCATGGTCCTAGGGTGTGGCTGGACAGTGGCTCTTGGTTCCTAGTTATGAGAGGTGTTTTGCCCTTTCCTGGGTGCAGGGATCTTTTGCATTAATGTGTTTCCATCCTGCTGCTGGTAGGATGAATAACAGGAGAGGCTCATCGGGCTTCAGAAAGCACTGAAATTGCAGTTGAAACGCCCTGCCTAGGGAGTCACTTACAGCTGGCACACATTGTTTGGTAACTTGAACTTGTCCAGGTTCAGTCCCGCAAGCTCTGGGTCACACAGCACCTCATCGGTTCATGCTGTCTGCCCACTGAATGTGTGCTGCTGCTTTCTGCAGCAGCCAGGTCTGTTCAGGTTAGCTTTGTGCCTTCAGACCACCACAAGGGACGAGCTCCCTTCTGCCTGCTGCTGTGTGCAACAACCTCACTGGCTGGTGGCCTTTGAGGGAAGGGGACAGACTGCAAACTGCCATGGGGACAGTGCTGTCCCTCCATGAGTCATCCCCAGGGTCTGAGGACCAGTGCCTGGTTAACCAATGCTTGTGCTTTGGTGGAAACCGCAGCCACGCTCCTGGTCTTGTGTGTGGTGGCTGCAGTGGATCTCTGGATGATCCAATCCATTGCTCTGGAAGGTGGCACCCAGAGTAGCTGTGATGGGAAGCAAAGGGCTGCTCTTCTGCAAAGCTCTGCAGACAAATGCTGGCTGTGCTGATCAACCGGTTGATCTCTTCCTGTGCAGATGACAGGCATCCCAATGAATTGCTCCATCAAGCTCCAGCTGAACCTGTACATAAGGAAGGTGCCCGGGATAATGTAAGTACTCACCTTTTAGATATGGCCATCTCCCCTCCTTGGGCAGGGTGTGCTGCTGATGCTGGGGTCGCTGCAGAGTTTACTCTCCTGTGGGATGAAGTAGCTTTGACATTACAGTTATCTCAGTTGCAGAAGATGGAATGCTCAGGTTTGGGATGGCACTCACTGCTGTTGTCAGGCAGTTAAGCACAAATAGAAGTGTAGGCTCTCCTCTTGCATGAAAGGCCTGAGTTGGACCTGGTCCCTTAAGGCAGGGAGCAGCTCACTGAAGCAGCAGTAATTGCTGCCTCCTTATGCTTGCATCAGACCTGTCCTGTTAGGAAGAGTTGTGACACTGGTTTTGGCCTGATTAACCAAAAATCTAAATGCCTATTCTCTTTTTTTTTTCTTTCTTTCTTTTTTCCCCCCCCCTAGGCAAACAGGGAACATCAAGCCAGTGGTCCTGCCGCTGCTCTGGTTTGCAGAGGTGAGTTGCCTTCCTTGACCTGATTCTGCAGAGCCTCTCCTGTTGGAGTGGGGAAACTGCTTCCCCATCACCCAGGGCTGGGGAAACTCCACTTTGGATAAAGCTTTAAGCCAGTCAGACTAATTAAGCACCAACAGAAGGCTTTGCAATACATGGCTATGTTGTTAATCCCTCTGAGCTGAACAGTCCCTGCACTATACTTGGTAAACCGCTGGCTCTGTCTTAGGTGTGGGGTTAAATAGGGCCCAGAACAGAGCTGCCAGCATCCCCATGGTAATGTGGGCCAGGGAGTGCAGTCTGCAGCTGTGTGCATGTCCAGCTGATGCCAGCTATTCAGTACAAACTTCTAGCCTGGTTGAATCATGCACGAGTTACCAAACTGGTGCTGGGAGGTGGGGGGAGAGGAGTTGCACCACTGGTGAGTCTCAGCCCTGGATGGGAGGGAAATGCCACTGATAGCTTTGCTTTCTTTGAGCAGAGCGGATCCATCGAAGGTGCAGTCCTAAAGCAGTTTTACAGCAACCTGGTGCTGCTGCCGTCCTTGCTGGACTACCTGCAGTATATCCTCCTTGGGCTGAGTGTCCCGCTCATTATCTCAGCAGCTGTACTCATGGCACAGAGTCAGGTAAGAACTTAAGATGTCTAATAGGAAATGCTGTTAGTCAAATCAGACTTAATCAGTTGCTGTAGATTGGGCTGACAGTCTAATGCTCCTGAGGAAACATTGGCTGATGGCAATGGTGCCAGCATGTAGCAGCAGGACTTCCTCAGCCATCTAGAAATTGGGCTGGAAGTAGATAACATAAAAGCATTCCTGGCCATCTCGGTGCAAACAGTGATGGAAGTGGGCTCCTGTAGGAGGAGGGATTTCTCAGCTCATCCCACTAATGAAAGAGCAAGCCTCGCTCATCAGCACAGATGTGGAAAGCAGCAGGTCTGTGCCATTGCACAAATCTCTGCATCTCTGCAGGGTCCCAGCAGTTTTCCAATCTGAACCGAGCCTTCTCAAGGGGATGCAGCTACTTGAGCACAGCTTGTTCACAAACGAAACGCAGTCGCTGTGTTCTTGCAGAAGGGGCACAGACACTGGCTGCCTCTCAACCCAGACCAGACTCTTTGTTTTTTTTTTCCTCCTGAAACTCACTGTTTCCCTGCACACTACTCCAAATAGCCCTGGAAGTTAAACCCTCTGGGTCTTTGTGGATCTGGGCTTACTGAGATGTGAAGAGCTTTGAAGCCTGCAGGGAGCTGGTGGCTGGGCAGAAGTTGGCCTGCAATGGGGAGGGCTGTGAGGGCGCTTGGCTCCACATGAGTCTGCTCTGAACTGTAAGGGCAGAATATAAATCAGCTGAAGTACTTGATGGAGATCTGTGGCTCCAGCTCCAAAGCATCCATCTGATAACACTAATCTCTCTCAAAGCTTTAGCTCTTGAAGTGAAGATCTAGCTCCCTGCCCTACCCTATATCAAAACAAGCTTATTTAGTTTTGCGCTCCAGGCAGATGATGTGAGCTGGCTCTAAAGGCACAGAAGTGAAGAGGATATTTGTGAGGATGAAAAGGGGATGAGAGTGGGCCAAGGGGAGAGCATGTGCCAGGGGCTGCATTTGCTCAACCTCCTGTAACCGCACTTACTGAAATGCTAACGCAAACCCACCTTAAACAGTGCCAGGGTTCTCGGAGTATCACGTAATTGGATTTCATCCAAGCCTACAACTGCTTAATTGACTTAAACACATGATCCCAAATCCCCTTGTTCCTCCACGCACTTCCCTGCAGGATGGGAGCGATGCTAGGGCTGAGGGCTCAGTGTTAAACCCTTGCTGTGCTCCTGAGATGGTCAGGGTGTGGGTGTGCTGAACCTTCCGCAAATGCAAGTGGTCGCTGGCAAATGGACTTCACTCTGCTGCATAGTAGCTGAAAAATGTCAGTATTTGCTGGGCAGCTGTTTCTAAGACCTCATGTGGCCCTGGGCTGGCATTTCCTGGCTCTGCTTTGTGCAAATCTTAATTCATGGTATCACAGAGCCTCAGCCGTGCCAGAAGGGGTCAGGAAGAAAAGCTGGATTTTAAATTCACTCAAGTCAACTGAATATCTGCTTGTGAAATATCCCAAACCCAGGCATAAGCCAGCTGCATTTGGGGGCACAGCCAAAAGTGTCACGAAGTGCTAGAGCTGAAAATCAACCTCAGAAAGTGCCTGACTACCTGGAAAGTGATTAAGAAGTCTGTAACCTTAAATCTCTTAAGGAAGCTGTGCAACAACACATGAAAGTATCTGCCTAATGAACAGATAAGAGCTTGTAAATCGGAAGACAGCGATTTGCAGCCAAGGCGTGTTCCTGGATTGATTGAAGTGTTGCTGATCTAGCGATGATTGCTTAATCGTGCACAGTCCTCCCTCCAGAAGCCACAGGTGGTGTTGGAGGGGACGCTGAGTGGGTACATGGTCCGCACCTTCACGTGTCTGCTGGTGTGAAGGTGTCCCTCAACCCAGTTCCTCCCTGGAGCAGCTTGTGGCTCCTGGAGGGAGCGCTGTGCTCTAAACCCAATCCGGATGAGGTACTGTGAAATGCCTAAATCTTAGTCTAGTTCATAGTGGAGCCAGTTTGAAATGCATCTGTTGGACCTGCGGTTCTGAAAAAATTATTAACCCATAGAGGCACAAAATGTGCCCAAAAGCCACGTTGTACCTCTCCTCCGCTAACGTGGCCTAAAGCCTGTGTAGTGATGTGTTTAAAAGGCCAACAGACCGTTTTAAAACTGGCTTGACACTGACCAAAATCTTAACTAGGACTTAGTTTTACCCAAATTTGGAAATCTTCATTAATAACTAGATTCTAGTTCAACAGTGATTTTTAAAATCTCCTCCTAAATTTGGTAACCCTCCTGAAATTCATGTCGAAGTGCACCATAAACTAGCCTGATTGTCTTCTAGGAAAAATGCTCTTTATTTTGGAGTAGCAATAAAAAGAACTCAGACAGTAATAAGGCCAACCAGGCCACTTCAGCCAAAAAGCTGCCTCCGGTTAAGGGGACGGTGTTGCGAGAAGCCAGACTGTAGGTGGATACCCAGTCAAGGTAACTTGCTTTTCTCTCATCTTGTTTGATTAAACTTTGCGTAAAAACCAATCAAATGGAAGCATTTACTGTCCACATCTACCCGACGTGCCCTTTTGGCAAGCGTTGATGTAATGATGTTGTCTCATGGCTTTATTCAGGGCAATTTAGAGGTCTTAAAACTCACACTTAACCAGGCTGCAAGGGCTTGTTCTTATTGTTCCCCCGGTGCACCTGATTTACAGCCCTAATAATAGTAGCAGGGATTGGGATGAAAAGTAGTACTGGTGTGAGGATAACACTTGTCTTGCCCTATTTCCATCCCTTTCCAACCGTTGTTGATCGAGAGGTAAGTTTTTGAATGGGTAGAGAGTAACAGCAGCAGTCAACTGGTGGGGGTCGCTCCCCTCCTGCACGCAGGGACCCTCAACGGAGCGGCTTTCAGGAGGGGATTTCTGATGTATAAAATATCTGGGTTTGTATTACAGGATCACAAAGTCCCTGAAACGGTGAGGTTGGAAGGGATCTCTCGAGGTGATCTAGCCCAACCCCCCAGCGCAAACAAGGCCACCTAGAGCCGGTTGCCCAGGACCATGTCCAGATGGGCAAGGATGGACATTCCCCAGCCAACCCTGTTCCAGTTTTTACAGTTTTCACAGTAAATTAAAAAAAAGAAAAAGTGTTTCCTAATGTCCCCATGGAACCTCCTGTGTTGAAGTTTGTGCCCGCTGGCTCTTGTCTTGTCCCTGGCCACCACTGAGACATCACATCAGGTAGTTGTACACGTTGGTTAAGATTCCCCTGAGCTTTCTCTTCTCCAAGCTCTCTTGGTGTGAGAGTCCTTCAAGCATTTCAGTGGCCCTTTGCTGGGCTTTTTCCAGTAGCACCATCTCTCTTGTCCTGGGAAGCCCAGAACTGGACACAGTGCTCCTGGTGTGGCCTCATCAGTGATGAGTAGATGAGAAGGATCACCTTGACCTGCTTCCTAATGCAGCCCAGGACACAGTTAACTGCCTTTGCTACATGGCCACTGCTCACTCATGTTCAACTTGATGTCCACCAAGGCCCTCTGGTCCTTTTCTGCTGAGCTGCTTAAGAGCTGAGTGGCCCTCACCATGTACTGGTGCATGGGGCTGTTCTGCCCCGGGTGCAGGACCTTGCACATCCTCTGAGGTTTCTCCAGCCTGTGGAGGTCCCTCTTGAGGGCAGCGTGGACCTCTGGTGTTAGCAGCCACACCTCCCAGTTTTGTGTCATCAGCAAACACGCAGATCATTAATAAAGATGTTGAGCAGGGTTGGACCCAGTATTAGCCCCTGGCGCACACTTGGAGCTACTGGTCTCTGACTGTACTTCATGTCACTTGTCATGACCCTCTGGGCCTGGCTGTTAAGCTGGTTTTCAATCCACCTCACTGTCTGCTCATCCAGCCCATGCCTTGTAGCTTCTCTATGAAGATCTTAGTGTCGAAAGCCTTACTGAGGTCAAGGTAGACAGTATTTACTGCTCCCCCATCTTCTACCAAGCCATTCATTTCATTATAAATGTTTATTAGGTTGGCCAAGCATGATTTCCCCTTGGTAAAGCCACAGTAGCTACTGATTAGTGTCCTGTCCTTCATGTGTCTGGAAATGGTTCCTAGGATCAGCTGCTCGGTTGCCTTCCCAGCGACTGAAGGAAGGCTGGCTGGCCTGTAGATCCCTGCTTTCTCTTTCCTGAAGTTCAGGATAGGCATGACACTTCCCTACATCTTTGGACACCTCTCCTAATTGCCATGATTGTTCAAACATGATTGGGAGTGGCAATAACGTCTGCCAGCTCCCTTAGCACTTGGTGCATCCCCTCAGGGTCCATGGGTTTAGGTGTATCTGCTTTGCTTAGGTATTCTCTGGCCTCATTCTTTTCTGCCAATAGCATGTCATCTTTGCTCCAGACTTTTCTCTGGTTTCTTGGGTTCCCTGCTTCATTCAGCATCAGGCCCACATGTCCCCAGGTATTCCTGTTGTCATCTATCTACTTACAGAAGCCCTTCTTGCCTCTGACATCTCTGGCCAGATTCAATTCCAGTTTGGCTTTGGCTTTCCTGACTTCTCCTCACGCTGGGACAGTGCCTCTGTGTTCCTGCCAGGTTACCTGTCCCTGCCTCCACCTTCTGCATGCTTCCTTCTTGCGTTTGAGTTTGGCTAGGAGCTCCTTGTTCATCCGCATAGGCCTGCTGGTGGTTTTGTCTGACTTGGGACGCTTGTTGGGCTGGACTACCCTTGAGCTTGGAGGTGGTGATCCTTGAATATTAATCATCTTCTTTTCCCTGACTATCTCTCCTGACCTAAACTCTGTAGTCACTTTTGATACCTTTCTCGTGGCATCATTGGTGTCCATACAGAAGAAGCAGTGGGCAAAAGTCAAAGTTGGATGAGCCTTGCAGTCCCTCCACAACACCTCGGGTGCAAGTCCTCAGCAAGTGTCTGTAGGTGCCAGGGCAGGGCAGATGGGTGTCTCTGCCGCCAGCAGTAAGGAGTGACTCACTGCTGTTAACTGCTGCTTTCTCCTGGGGGTTGTGCATGATTTAGGGTCAGAGTGCCCGTGTGCTTTGCTCGAAGGCAGGCCTGACTCCAACGTTGAGGGTGGTGAACCTCTTTTGTGGATGTAAACCTTTGGGTGGAGCAGGAGCCTCCTTCTTGGTGTCAGAAGGCGCCAGCTTCCATCTCTCACCTTCCCCAGAGGCTGCCCTGGGGACGGGCGCTGTCTGTGCCTCTGCTGCAGCTGGGGACTGGGGCTCTTTGAGCTGTTGAAGATCCCGTCCGTCTCCCTTTCATCTTCTCTGATGCTGTCCCTCCTGCTGACTTTGTCCCATAACTCCTCCCATGTGGTGACACCAAAAACGAGTGTTAGGGGGTGATACAAGCGTTGGTGGGCAGGAATGGAAGTGATTTGTTAGGGGAGACAACAATTTTCAATTTAAGCAGCCTTCAGGACAGGCTTCTTGGCCATGTTAAAGTCCAAGAGGTTTTTGGGGCACACACAACCCAGGCGGGGATGCAGTGACACCCGCGCTGTAAGGTGTGACCACGGTGCCACCGCCGAGCGTGGCTGTAAACGCTGTCCTCTACTCCCCAGAGAGGCACCGCCGACAAAAACCCGCCATGCAGAGCAAACCGTCCCCCTCCTCCGAAACAACGCCGCTCCTCCGCGACGCCGGCATCCCGAGCCAGGACAACGCCGAAGCCTGAGCCGCCGGCCCCAGCATGTTCCCACTGGGACACGTCAGCGCTGCGGGCGAGACCCGCTTTGGGTCCCCAGAGGTCTCTGGAAGGTGAAGTCGTCCTGGGTAACCCAGCGGGGTCCCCGCGCACCACGGCAAAGCCACGGGCCGGTGCTGCCGCGCCAGCGCTCCCGCGCCGGGGCACAGGAGCCCTCATCCAGACACCCGAACCACAGTGTCCAAGAACCCTCGTCCCCAAGGGGCCGGCGTTGGCCACAGCCCCTCTCTGCGCGTGGGCCGGCAGGAATGGAGACGGTTGCTGGCTGATCCGAGAAGTTATTTTGCAATTTCAAGCTGCCCGTTGCTAGGAATAAAAGGCGCTTTAATGGGAGCCTTTAAAATAAATGAGGTTTGTATATGTAGCACTGATGGGATTTAGTGATCTCTTTAAAAGCCGCCGTTCATCTCACGTGGTTGGGGCTTGCTCTCCCGAAGCCTCTTAGCGGTTTTATTGCCACTTGATGTGACTGGACGAGACCACAAATCAATTCTGGGGCTGTCACTTCAGTGATGTCTCTTCCCGGGGTACCCAGAGCCTGCCCAGGATCTCTCCAGCCTTTGCCTGTGTTGGAGAGCACAGCGGTGGCTTTTAAAGCCCCAATTCTGTGCCATGACCTTGCGCTCCAGTGATTCCAGTCCAGAGCCCTGTTACTTAGCCTGCTGGCTCTGTCCTTAGGTGACGGCGTTCAGCCTTGCCAAAAAATGTGGTGTTACATCTGACCTGTCACTCAGCTCCTTGTCCCTGCTGCCTGCTCAGCTCTTCTGGCCATGCTCTGTGGGCGCTGGGGGGCCACCACCTCGCTCTGCACACAGGGAGGGAGCTGACAGGAGCTTGACCCCATCCTGGGGCGTTAATGCAGATGCTTGTGCTTTTGGGATGGAGGAATCTGTGTGAAATCGTGAAAGTAATGATGGCTTTAGGAGGTTTCGATTAAAATATTGCAGGTTTCTGAAATGGGGTCGTGGGGGATCTGGGGCTGAACTGTGGGTGGGTGAGTGGGTGGGCTCACTCTTTAGTGGAAAGGAAGCCCGCAGCCCAGGGATATTCTTGGTTGATAGTGGTCAGTAGTTGTCTACCACACCTTCCCTGCTTCCAAGAAGAGCCAAAAGGGGCAGTGCTGGTGCCTCTGGCAAGGACGAACCGAATGTGGGGGGTCCCTGGTCTCTCTTATACCAGAGGTCGCGTTGCATTGCCTGTGGTAAGGATACTGCTGTGAACTGGAAACCATTGCTAGGTGCTATGAAACCAAACCTAGGCCAGCCCTGTGACTTTCTGGACGGGTAAGCAACACTTGGCCTGTTACACCTCTGTCCCTCTTGCTAGGCAGGGCCAGCACAGGAGCTAAACCTGACCCCAGCAGCTTCCCGTGCTGGTTCACCCCTGCCCGGCTGTGTCCCCTGTCCTGGGCTCGGGCTGTTTTGTCACGGAAACAGCAGTGATACAGCCCAGCTCGCCAAGGGGGCGACCAGGCCGCGGTCCGTAGGCTGGACTTGCCCAGAAGCCCGAGGAGGTGGTCCAGGCGCTGCAGCGCTGCGGCGCGGCCGCCGGGGGGCGCTGTGGGGCCGCGGCGGGCCG